GGTGACAGCCGCTGAGTGTCTCCTGATCTCTGATTCTTCCGTGGAAGAAGTCCTGGCCAATGGGATCCCTGTAAGTGCTAGGTCTAGCTCCTGGATGCACTTCCACTGGCAGTGTCCCAGTGTCTGATGCACAGGGCCCTTGGAATAGCCATAATGCAGGGATCTGGAACATCAGTGTGAGTGGAATGACCCTGGCTGTGGGAGTTGGGGCAGCAGTGGCACTGGTGCATGGAGGACCAGCAGGCACTTCTACTGCTGCATTGGTAATGTTGTGCAAGGCCTATGAACTCAGTGGCTGCCAAGCCTGCGTTTGGAGCACAGGTGTGTGCTGGAATACCACTGCTCCATGGACTGTGCTTGCAGAGCAGCCAAGGAGCCCAGGTCTGGAATAAGCTGGGCTTCAGGGTGCAGTCTAGCTTGTTGTGAAGGTGGTTCTACTATCCAAGGCATGGGTACTCACCAAGTGACCACGAAACTGAGGCCTCAATGCATGTCCATGCTGAGCGATCTCAACTCTGGGTCCCAGGACTCTGGTTTTGGTGTCTGAGGCACGAGAGCATGCAGTACAGTCACGGAACCAGAGTCTGCAGCACTGTATACATGGGACAGCTGTGGGTCCAGGAGCTGAGCCTGAGCAGGCTTGGAAGGGTGGCTCAGTCCCAAAGTCGTACAGCAGTGCCTTCTCTTGGCGGAAAGAGGGATAAGCAGCATTTCCCTTGCCACAGGGTTTGAAACAATGATGGATTCTTGTCACCTCAGCGGCACAATCTGCTAGCCAGCGTCTCTGCAGTGCATTTCCTGTGGACCACGTGGCTGATTTCAACAGCACCTCCTTCTTTGTTGATAGTCATCTTGAGAGATCTCAAGTATGCCACCCACCCCAGCAATCCCTTCTGTGCAATTACTCTGTTTTTTTGTTCCACTGTTTTGCTCCAAGTTCTTAATTGGATCCTTGAGCCCTCCCAAGACTATTTTTGGTTTTGGATAATTGTTTAATTTTTCGGGAAGGGTTGGAGGAGGATGAATGCAGGTATCTCCTACTCCAACATCTTGCTGGAGTTACTCTCTCAATGCAGGGTTTTCAATCCTGTTTTTCTGAAGTTAGGATTCCATCCCATTGGCCCTGACGTACATGCTAACAGGAAAGATCTGACCATTTTCTTCCTAATGCCAGGGGGGAAAGATTCCTGCTTGGTTTTCAAGATCACCAACAACTTTTATCCTTGTAGCCTAGAAAAATTCAATAAGTAATTATAATAGCCAATGTTTCCGCATAGAACACAAAGTGACTGGGAACTTTTCTGGTGACTTACACAAAGACCAAAGAGAGAGTAGGGTGTTAGATCTGATAGTCTCTAGGTGGATTTGATCGAAGTATTTTTTTTCTTTATTGTGCTGCTATTTGATAATGTACTATTAAGCCTTTTTATATTGATAGTTATACATGAGACCATCCTCTAGTTTTCATTATGTGTACTTTTTTTTTTCCCCTTTGGTATCAGGGATTGAACCTAGGGCCGCTTAACACTGAGCCACATCCTCATGCCTTTAAAAGAATATTTTATTTAGAGTCAGGGTCTCACTGAGTTGCTTAGGGCCTCACTAAGTTGCTGAGGCTGGCTTTGAACTTTGATCCTCCTGCCTCAGCTTCCCAAGCTGCTAGGATTACAGTCATGCCACAGCACCCAACATGCATAATCTTTAATTAATTTTATAATCAGAAGTATGTTCATCTCACTATTAGAGTGAAGTTTTCTTTCGTGTATAATTATAATTATGTATTAGATAATTATCATAATTACAAATTTGTTAATTATGTAAATTAAGTATGATTAAACTTACGTGTTACCTGAAAGATTTATCTCTTGTCAACAGGAAGCCCATATATTTTCTATTCCACCTAAGTTCAATTTTACAAGTTTATCTTTTTTCTCACAGTGTACTGATATCATGTGGTTAGCAAAGTGTTTATATTTATTTGTTTATCCATCAAATATTTTTGTATGCCTCTTCTGTGCTAAGTTCTATCCTAAGCACTTGGGTTGCATCAGTGAAAAAAACAAATATCTCTGAGTTCTCAACACTTACATGCTTATACTCTCATGACTCCTTTCATTTTCCCATACCTATGGTATTTTCTTCTTTCCATTCTTATTGTATGCATTACGCTTTTATTCCTTTTCCTATTAATTAGTTAATAGTTACTCAACTGGTTCTGTCTTTTCATTCTCTCTTTCTGGATTTCATTTAGAGCAAACTTTCCAAAGGAAAAGAAATGCATTTATTAGTTCTGGTTTTCTGGACTTTTTTTTTTTAACCTGGGGATCAGATCCATGCCTTATACATGTTAGTCAGGCATAATACCACAGAGCTGTAGTTTCATTCCGGTTTTTGCATTCATTAATAGCTCATATCTTACATCTTTTTCTAGCTTATGAATAGGCTTCTAACTTTTTCAGTTAAATAGCTGTTTCATTGTTTTTTTTTTCATTTTTTGATTTGTTTTCTTTTCCCTCTGTTAGTGCTGGGGATCAAACCCAGGGCCTCATATATGCAAGGCAAATAGTCTGCCATCAAGCTACACCCACCACCACCCCCCAGTTTTTCTTTTTCTTGTTTAGTAATATAAACATTGAATGCAATGGATTTTCTTCTGAGAACTGTTTTACATGTGATTTCATAAATGTAATGCTTTCAATTTTATTTTCAAGACATTCTGCAATTTGACTTTGCTTTCTTCTTTGATGAATAGTTGTTTACAAGCGTTCTTGTTGTATTTTACTTTCTAATTTAGAGCTTTATCTTCTAGCTTTGATATTCTACTTTTAATCATGCTGAGCTCAGATAATATCATTGATCAATATTTTTAATAATTCATGAGACTGTGACAAGATATATTCTACTTTAAAATATTGGGTTGGGCATAATGGACATACATTCCTGTGTTATAAATCTTTAGCATTTAATATTGGAAAAGCTGTACTGAATGAGTGGCTTCATTCCTTTATCACAGCGGTTCTTACCTAGGACTAATTTTGTCCCACCTCCCCCAGGGGACATTTGAAAATGTCTACAGATATTTTTGGTTGTCCCAACTTGGGTGGGGAACACAGAGGTGACATCAGCACCTGGTAGATAGAGGTGGGGAAACCGCTAAACATCTTATAATGCTCAGGCAATTACAGCAAAGGTTTGTCCAGCCCAATGTGAATAATGCAGAGATGGAGAAGGCTTGATGATACAACATCCTTTCTTGATAAATGTTACAGTGTGCAGATTCCTAATGCCGTAATTTCAGTTCATTGCATATAACTGTCAGCTAATCCGTTTAGATTCGTTTCTAAACAGTCCATAAACTGTTTACTTGAAGTTAAACTCATAATGGATTTTATGCTTTTAGTATTTGAGTTTAGATAACAGGGAAAAATGAGTCCCAATGAAAATAAGGTAAGAAAAACCAGAAATTGTAAATTATAAATTATTTCCTCAGTATTGAGAGAAAATTTCTCTGGTTAAATAACTACTGATACAAAAGATGGAGGCAATCAGAGGGGCAGATTAAGCTAGTGTTCTGCTTTTCTTCTTTCCTCAAATTTCTTGAAATCACCGTGCAAACAGATAACTAAAAACACCAAATTCATGCCACCTGTAGAATAAAGAAAGGGTAAATATTCCAGGATAGAAAGAAGGGATGAGACTGGCAAATAAACAAAAGTTGAGAAAACTACAATCCAAAATAGTTACAGTAAACAGTTTCTGCAAAGATTAGTGCAATTTTAGACATACATCCAGCCTTACGGTCAATTAAAAATTTAAAAAGTGAAAGCTTTTAGAGAATCATCCGATAATGTGTTAAAAAATCTGCCTGTAGCTGGTCATGATGTTTCAAGCCTGTCATCCCTGCAACTCAGGAGGCCGAGGCAGGAGGATTGCAAGCTTGAGGCCAGCCTCAGTGATTTAGTGAAAGCCTGTCTCAAAATTTAAAAAAATAAAATAAAATAAAAATAAAAAAGAACCAAATATGTAGCTCAGTGGTCAAGTGCCCCTGGCTTCAATTCCCAGTGCCAAAACAAAACAACAACAACAAAAAAACTGTTGAAAATCATTAGACAAGTCATGTATTCTGCCAGCTCACACGGCTTCCTGTACATACAGCTCTGCGGGTCAGTAGCCAGCGTGTTCTTCAGGCTGCGGTTCACTCCTTTCTAATCCATGGGGACACTAAGCCTGGGGAAGTGGACTAGCACAGTGCCTGGCCTGCAGGGGAACACAGCCTGGAGCTGGGTACATTCCAAAACCACACAATGGCAGAAGGAAGAAAAAACAAGAGTGAAGCTGATTTTGACACTGACTTCTGGGATTCAGCTACGGAAGTGAGGAGGGAGATGAGGTGGAGGGAGAAGTAGGGAGCTATGTCAGTGTGTGATGTGTCCTTGGGGCTACATGAGAACCAGGCACTGAGTATGTCTTGTGTAAATATTATCCTCCCAACATCTCTCTGGTAAAGACAAAGAAACCAATGACATGAACTCCTGCCACGCGTACCATGAGACCAGATCTCTCTCTTGCCAACTGCACCTGCCTTCTGGGCAAGTGGCCTCTGAGAGGACATCTAAGTACAAGAATTGGGCAACTAGGAGTCTAGTAGGAAGAGCCAAAAACTGGCAAGGCTTTGAATACACTGACCACAACCCAGACTCCAGGAGCATTCTTCAAAGGTACTTGACATTAAAAATGTCCTTCTGCATGGTTGTCATTAGTCAAAGCTTCACTAGGTACTGATACCATCAGTTTCCATCTCCATTCCCAGGACCTTTGATCTAAAGACTACATTACACCTGGAATTAGGCCCCTATCAAATGGCTCACACAGTGTCCACTGGGAGAATTCCTTGAAGACAGAGCTTCACTGTATAATGGGAAAGAATTGCTCTGTGCTGGCTTCAGGTGACCTTGCACACATTCACCAGGGAACATGGGAAAGCTTGAACTGCAGCTGACCTGTCTTGGTGGAATATCTTGAATCCTTCTGGAACATGCATGCATGAGACTTTGGAGAAGATTCTTCAGGGACGTTCCTCCCTCGTTTCTTTTGTCAGTCAGCTTTTCATCCCTGTGGCCAAAATACCTAACAAGAACAACTCAGAGGAGGAAAGGTGGATTTTGGCTCATGGAATCAGAGGTTTTAGTTGGAGGTCAACTGGCACCATTGCTTTGCACCTAAGGTGATAGAGAAGATCATGGCAGAAAAGCAGAGTCCAGGCCCAGGTCAGGTCCACGACGGCCCCCACTGTCCTGTGTGAGAGCTCAGGTCCAGAACTGCTCCTGCATAGAGTGGAGGACCACACTGGGGCTCCCCTTTACCAACATGTTGCTCCCCCAGCCTGCCTCCACCTTGGGAAACAGAAGCCATCAACATAGCCCTTCCGACATAGCCCTTCCCACGTAGTAGCCTCCACCTTGGGACAACAGACAGAGCGTGGAGGCAGCTGCTTCTCCAAACAGGCAGCCCAAAGCCATTTTCTGGCCCACCCTTTCAGCCCCATCTCTGAAAGTGGTTGCAGCCATCTTGGGACACCCCACTGCTATCTTGAGGTACTTCTGCTATTGCCGCCACCATTTTTAGTTGTGCAGTAGCGTCCATCTTGGGACACCAGCTGGGGGATAGAACCCCAGCACCATAGTGAGGTACAGGTAATCTGCAGGGACACTACAGATTATAGGGTAAAAACGGTCATACCTCAGATCCGCCCTGCAAGAAAGGGAGACACATGAACAACATGAAGAAACAAGGGAAGAAAGTTCCCCCAAACAAACCGAGACACGACAGTAATAGAACCCAGTGAGTTGATGAAATGCCAGAGAAGGAGTTCAGAACGTACATAATTAAAATGATCTCCGAATTAAAGAATGACATCAGAGAGCACACACAGGCAGAAAGGAATCCCTCCAACAAAGAGATAAGAGAGCAAAAACAGGCAACCATTGATCACACCAACAAAGAGATAAGGGAGCAAGTACAGGTAGCAATAGATCACTTCAAGGAAGATATAGAGATTCTGAAAAAAAAAAAAAGAAAATCCAATAAGAAGATTTATGGCAGAAGACTATGGCAATAGCAGAGGCATTTGGGAAACAGAGACAGAGAGAAAAGGGACAGGGACAAAATATAGCCCGAAAGGCTATGCTCCTGGTGACCTAGTCCTCCAACCATGCCCTTCCTGCCTACAGTTTCCACCACCTCCCAGTGGTGCATTCTGCTATTAATGCGTTAATCCACTGATGAAGTCAGAACTCTCACGAGCCAGTCACTTCCTCCAAAGCTCCTTTAGCACTTGAGCTTTGAGGGACCTTACAGATAGAAACCATAACACTTCCTTATCTGGCCCTGTAATGAGGCCGTTTCTCATCTTCTCCCAGTTGCTGACAGGTCGAAGGGTTTTTGTCACCTAACCAGGAAACAGCTGCCGGTCATGAAGCCACCTCCCAGCAACAAAGCAGAGCTCCTCAGTGACGGAGTCTATCCTCATTCAGGTTTCTTTTGTTTTGATTTGGCCCTGTACAAGAGAATAAAGATAAAAGATTGTTACTAGAAGGGACACAGACACTGAGAAGAGAGACATAAAGACAGAGATTACTGTAAGGGGGGTCCGGCGGATCATCGGAGGGAGAGACCACACAAGAGACTTACTCTATGCAATTGGCAAAAGGGGATTTATTGGGGATCCATTCCAGCGCGTTGGGACTCCGTGCTCACTCAAGAAAGGAGAGCAGCTCAGAGCCCAGAGCAGAGTTCAAGCGGAGCTTAAGTATACTTTTTGGAGAGGGTGGGGGGCTTTGCATACTTCAGAACAAATCATCATGAGGCGCGGGAAAATTGAACAACAACCCTGAGTCAGGATTCGTGCATACATTGGTGGGAACAATTAGAGCAGGAGTGATTGGTGCTCCTAGGTGGGGTACACATTCAAACTGATTGGTTTAGGTCCTGCAATGCCTACGTGCCAAGCAACTCGGAACCCTTAGCTATTAAACAACCAGAAAGTCGGTGGAAATATTTCCTGGGCAGTTCCAGTATTGTCCTAACAGCTACAGGGATTACAGGTTTTGGGGGTAGCAGAGGGACTCTAACAATACTAGTCTTTTACTTTTTAACCCAATCCCTGCACTTTGGAAACTTTAGGATGCCTGGTCTTTTACACTTTAACTCAGGCTCTGCGGCTTAGAATCAGCTTGGAAATTTTACCTTTACAATTACCCTGCTGTATTCAGAAGGATACAATAAAATGACTCAGATTTCAGTAACAATTCACCTTAGGCGTCTTGAGGATCCATAAATAGATGTCTATGTTTTTTTAAATGACAAATATTTTTTACATTGTTTTAGTTGTAGATGGACACAATGCCTTTATTTTATTTATTTTTGTGGTGCTGAGGATACAACCCAATGCCTCACCCATGCTGGGCAAGTGCTTTACCACTAAGCCACAGCGACAGCCCAGTAAATGTTTTTAGTAGACCCCGACACCTGTGTTCCGTGCTGGCAACTGCTGCTTCATCACCAGTGCACAGCTAGCTTGCACAAGAGCTGGTAAATTTTCCCACTTTATAGATATAAATATTTGGATCCGTGCCACGGCTGGGTTGCTATGGGTTGGAGGGGAGCGCTGGGTAGTGGGTCTCTGGGTCAGGCCCTTATCTGCCATCAGACTCAGTGAAGCGGAGCCACTGTCACATGGACCTGTGGAGAAACTTAATATATTAAGTTTGTTCTCCCTGAGGCTAGAGCTGGAGCGCTGTCTTTTGAAGAAAGCCAGTGAATTAAACTCCACGAAGAAAACAGACAGTTCTTGTGTATAACAAGGAGTTCAAACTGGGACAAAAAAAAATTAACCCAGGAGAACTTAAACAGACAGAGAAGGATAACTCTCTAAAATAGAGACATCAGCTTGTCCAGCTAGAAGAGGAACAAAAGTTAATATTGACTCCATTGAAATGAAATTTGGACTTTTGGCGCCAACTCTGGAGGGCCATTGAGAGAAGTGATATTGTGGTCCAGATGATGGATGCTCGAAACCCACCCCTGTTTAGGTGTGAGGATTTGGAACGTTATGTGGACGAGACAGATGCTGAGAAGGAGAACACTGTCCTGATACACAAGGCCGACTTGCTGAGCAGCCGAGTGCCTGGGCCGCATACTTTGAAAAAGAAGATGCAAACGAGGTCATTTTCTGCTCCACTTTGGCTCAAACTGCTCAACTGAATGGTGACTTTAAGGAACACGTGAACAGAGATACTGGAGAAGGGAGCTTCTGATTTCTGAAAACTCCAGTTTTGAGGAAAATAAAATTCCACACAATGAGACCAACAACCATCTCCCCAACAGGGGTTCTCCCTCACTCGATGACTCCTCCTGTGATGAGGATGATAGTGAGGAGGACTGTCAGGAGGAGGAGGACTGGCAGACATGCTCAGAAGAAGACAGCTGCCCTAGTGAGGAAAGATGGGCAGCTGGACTGGTGGGCTACCCTAACACTGGTAAAAAGTTCAACCATCAACACCATCATGGGCAACAGAAAAGCATCAGTGTCTGTCACACCTGGTCACACACCAAGCATTTCCACACTCTCTACACGGAGCCTGGCCCACGCTTATGTGACTGACTAGGCCTGGTATTGCCATCCTTTGTGTCTTTGAAGGCAGAGATGATTTGCAATGGAATTCTCCCAATTGACCAGATGAGAGATGGTGTCCCACCTGTACCACTAGTATGCCAGAATATTCTACTACATGTTTTAGAAGCTACCTATGGCATAAATATCTTAAAGCCTAGAGAAGATGAAGATGCCGCTCAATCTCCAACCTCAGAAGAACGGTTGGCAGCAAGGATTCGTGATAGGATGTGGACAGCCAGGCCCACCTTGGTCTGCACACTATATCCTAAAGGATCATGTCAAAAGGAAACTACTACACTGCCATGCTCCTCCCGGAAGAGATCATGTGACATCTCAGCATCAACACCACCAGTGACTCCTAAGGAATGAAATGAATAGTGTTAAAATAAAAATGCAGCCAGGTAGAAATAAAAACACAACAGTGGACACAACTTTTTTCATCAAAGAATATGAGCACTTTGACCAAAGGGGTTCAGGCTCTGGTGGGTTAAAAGCCTGGCAATGGCCTGGAGACTGCAGCTACTCTAGGAGCCAGGAAGCGCTAGATAAAATACAGCAACAGAAATAATAACGAGAAAATTTCTAGACTCCACAAGCACCTAGATATGTGATCGTGGGCTCCATCTGCACTGTGCATATGGAAAAGAGTAGAAGCTGTTCGTTGCCTGCGGAACTTTTGACTCCGGTGCTGTGGAAAGGACTCTGCTCTAGTGGATGTAGCCATACCCCACAATCTTGATGTCAAGGCTGAAGGGCTCCTGATATACTGCCTCTGACTTTAGTCATCATTGGTGACCCAGAAACGTACTCCTGTAAGATGATGAACTTCAGGAAGTTAAAGAAATAACTTTGTATACCCTGGCGATTAATGCTCTAATCAAAAAAAAAAAAGCAAAAACACGAAAACCAATATCAATAGTAAGGGAGCTATTAAAATAACCCTTCAGATACTGACGATATATTAAGGTGACTAGGACTGCCTGCTAATGTATGTGCTAGCTTACATAACATGGTCTGCATCAGAGAAGGATCTGTGTGTGGCTGAAAAGATAATGGGTTCAGTGACTGATGGATGAAATGTTCTATATGTGTCTGTAAAGTCTAAGTTATCAGTGTATTGTTCACTCCTATAGCTTCTTTATTCAGTTTTTGTTGGGAGGATCGATCCAGTGGTGACTGAGTCATGTTAAAGTCACCCAGTGTTATTGTGCTTTGGTCTATTCGATTCTTGAAACTGAGAAGGGTTTGTTTGATGTACATAGATATTCCATTGTTTGGGGCATAAATATTTAGAATTGTTAGGTCTTGTTCATGTATAGTTCCCTTAAGTAGTATGAAAGGTCCCTCTTTGTTCCTTCTGATTAACTGTGGCTTCAAGTCCTCTTTATCTGATATGAGGATAGAACCCCCTGCTTATTTACAAGATTCATGTGGATGCTATGTTTTTTGCCCATCCTTTTACCTTCAGTCTGTGGATATTTTTGCCTATGAGGTTAGTCTCTTGAAGACAGCCTATTGTTAGGTCTTTTTTTTTTTTAATCCAATCTGCCAGACTATGTGTTTTGATTGATGGGCTTAGACCATTTACATTCAATGCCATTATTGAGAAATGATTTTTATTCCCTGTCATTTTGATTTATTTCGGGTTTTTACTTTGAATTAGTTTCTCCTTTGATTGATTATTCTTCTAGTGTGGTTTCTCCCTTTGCTGTTTTTTTCCACTTTTAGTTTTCATGAAATATTTTATTCAGAATGTTTTGTAGTGCAGGCTTTCTACTTGTGAATTCTTTTAACTGTTATTTAACATGGAAGATCTTATTTCATCATCAATTTTGAAGCTTAATTTTTCTGGGTATAGTATTCAACTGGCTTTCTTTCTTTTTTTCTTTTTTCCCAGTGCTTGTTATATATTATTCCAAGACCTTCTAGTTCTGAGGGTTTGGGTTGAGAAACCAGCTGAGATCCAGATTACTTTCCCTCTAAAGGTTACCTACTGTTTTCCTCTGACAGCCTTTAAAATTCTATTCTCACTCTGTTTGCGAGGCATTTTCATAAAAATGTGCCTTGGTGTGAGTCTGTTCTAATTTTGTATATTTGGGGTGTTGTAAGCCTCCTTTATTTTATTTTCCATTTCATTCTTTAGGTTTGGAAGATTTTCAGATATTATTTCATTGAAAAGATTGGGCATTCCTTTGGTTTGTATCTCTGAGCCTTCATCTATCTTGATAAATATCTTGGTCTTGATAAATATCTTGGTCTTTTCATGTTATTCCATATTTCTTGGAAGTTCTATTCATGGTTTTGTAACATCTTTTCATCCTGGTCAACTTTGTTTTTAAGGTTATATATTTTGTCTTCATTGCCTAAAACTTTGTATTCTAAGTGATCTAGTCTGTTGGTGATGTTTCCATTGAACTCTTAATTTGGTTTATTTATTTCTTCATTCTGAGGATTTCTGCTTGAATTTTTTTTCCAGAATATCCATCTCATTATTGAAGTAATCCATTTCTTCCTGTATTTTTTCTTTTCTGATTTTACTCCTTACATTATCCTTTACTTCACAGACAGTTTGACTATGTACATTCTAAATTCTGTCTCTGACATTTCTTCCACTACAGTGTCATAATATTCCATTACTGAAGTATCTTCATTGGTTTGGGGCAATTTGTTCCCTTGCTTTTTCATGTTGTTTATATGACATATGACCGATACCCACATATGACTGCTACCCATCTAGCAGTATGAATCTGAGGTAGAAGTGTATCTACCTTGTGGAATTATAGTGTCCCCGAAGATTTCCAGTACCTCACCTCTCCCTGTAGGGGGAGACAAATAATAACAATGAATGCAAACAATATACAGTATTAAACCAAATAGTTTCT